TTCATTTATTCTGATCATGGTGTGCAGCTTTATTTTCTGGTTTATGTCGATGACATTCTTGTCATGGGCTCGGATTCTCGCCGTGTTACTGGGCTGGTGGATCAGCTTGCTCAGGAGTTTAAAATTCGAGATATGGGGCCCCCGTCCTTTTTTCTAGGGATTGAGACTGTCTCTATTTCTGATGGTATTCTTTTGTCTCAGCGACATTATGTTCAGGATATTCTCAAGCGTGCAGGGATGGTTGACTGTAAGCCGGTTTCTACCCCGATCTCGGTTGCTCGCTCTGAGGACGGTGATGTTGCTCCCTTCGCTGATCCTACGCACTATCGTGGACTAGCTGGTGCTTTGCAATACTTAACGGTGACTCGTCCTGATTTGTCTTTTGCGGTCAACCGGCTATGTCAACGCATGCAGGCTCCTACTACTGCCGATTGGTCTATGATGAAGCGGGTGTTGCGTTATGTGAAAGGCATTCTTGGCATGGGGCTGTGTGTTCGAAAGTCTTTGTCTACCTCGCTGCATGCGTTTTCTGATTCGGATTGGGCTGGTAGTCCGGATGATAGGAAGTCCACCAGTGGTTTTGCGGTGTTTTTGGGCTCTAATCTAATCTCGTGGTCGTGCCGGAAACAACGCACTGTGGCGCGTTCCTCTACTGAGGCAGAATATAAGACCTTAGCTGATGTGGCGGCTGAGGTGACATGGCTTGTTTCTCTGCTTAGGGAAATCGGTTTCTATGGTGTGACAACTTGGGTGCTACGTACCTGTGTGCCAATCCGGTTTTCCATGCTCGGACTAAGCATGTGGAAATAGATTATCACTTTGTCCGAGACAAGGTCTCCAAAAAGGAAATTCAGGTTCACTTTATTTCGACAAAGGATCAGATTGCTGATATTTTTTACCAAGCCACTTGCGTCCACTCGATTCTCCTTTCTTCGTGACAAGCTCAATATTTCGACTGCTCCACCTTGAGCTTGAGAGGGAGTGTTAGGACTCTTGTGTTAGTAGTTGGCTATGAGTCTTTACTTATCTCCTTATATTGTTATTGTTCAGACTATTATTCTGTTACGTTGAATATACAATCCTCATCATCATTAGTGATGTATTATATGAACCCGGGGGTCCGGATTATACAACCCGTATATATGATTTAATATAAGAACGAATAATAAAACGGTAAAGATTGTATTACTTGGATATAAAATGTTATTACAGATGTTCAGATCGTGTAATAACAAGACAAAGGTTGTAGGAAAAGTATGAGATGCCTAATTAGGACACCGGGGGGTGTTTAAATACTCCCCGGCTGCTACGGGCCCTAGGCCCGCGGGACTCGCTCCACGCGAGGACCCGGCCCTTGGCCGAGCACGAAGCTCGGCTAAGGGGCCGAGCCTATGGGGCTCGGCCGAGCTCGGGGAGGTCGGCCCACGCCGACCCCCACTGGGCCGACCCTGGGGTGGTTCGTCCTGTGCCGCGGGTGGACGCGGGGTCCGACCCGGTCCATATTATCCTGCTCCGCTCCGGCTCCGTGATTATTCCATCAATTAGTATTCGTTATCTATTATTATTAGTTTTCGTCTTGTAATAGGTTTACTATTCACTACTAGATATACTTTTGTACATACTCATTATTGATTATTCAGATATATCGTATCCTCATCTGGTATCAGCAGGTTTCTCTCTCTTCTCTCCATGGCGCACCTCAGATCTGATGACGGCTCTGTTGGTAGTTCTGAACGGACTGTTTCCGAGGCCACGCTTGTTGCACCACTGCATCGGGGGTGTCTTTCTCTTCGGCGCATCACTTCGTCTCCATCAAGTTGACATCCCGCAATTTTTTGTTTTGGCGTACTCAGCTTCTTCCGTTCCTGGATGGTCAAGGGTTATTGGGTTTTGTCGATGGTACGTCAGTGTGTCCGTCGATCACCACCCTTGCCGTGCCGCCTGCCGAGGGAGCTGTTCCTACCGTGCCTTCGTCGGCTTCGTCTTCCGCTGCTCGGAGTGCATGGCTCCGTCAAGATAAGAACATGCTCTCCTTTTTTATCTCATCCTTGTCCGATGAGATGATGCACCTCGCAATCGGTAAGTCCACTTCTCGGCATTTGTGGTTGGCGATCGAACAGGTCCTTGGTTCGACGACACGGGCTCGTGCTCTCCGGTTGGTGGGCGAGTTACAAGGATTGCGGCAGGGGGATGCTTCGATCCCGGACTATCTTGGCCGTGCACAGGTGCTTATCGAGGATTTGGTGCTTGCCGGCCGTCCGATGACGCTAGAGGATCATAATATGTATATATTCTGAGGCTTGCGGTCCGAATATCGTCCTTTGATGGCGTTGCTCACAAGGGGTGCTCTGGTGTCTCTGCCCGAGCTATCCGATTTTCTTGTTTCGCAGGCTTTTATATGTGTCGATGATGCTGGTGATGTTGCTGCTGTTCCGACCGCCATGGCGGCTCAGCAAGGTGGAGGCCGTTCGGGCGTGCAGCAGCGTGGAGGCGGCAACCGCGGCTGTGGTCGCGGCAAAGGGCGTGGCCGTGGTCGAGGTGGTGCCGGGGCTGTCCAATATCAGATCTGCTCCGGCGAGGGCCATTCGGCCGCTTCGTGCTTTCGCCGATATGATGGAGCTCCGGGGCCGAGAGTGCATGTTGCGTATCCCATGGACGATGCGGCTTCGGTTAGCACTCAACAATGGTTTCCCGACACTAGTGCGTCGAACCATGCCACCCCGGATCCGTCTTTGATGTCCTAGGCGGTCTCTTATAACGGTCCGGATCATCTTCGTGTTGGTGACGGTAAGTGTTTACCTATTGTTGGTACTGGTTCGTCTTCGGTAGCCTCTTCTAAAACACTGTTTCGGTTGTCTGACGTTCTTTATGTTCCTGGGCTTTCTGCGTCTTTATTATCTGTACAACGGTTTACCCGTGTTAATAATGTCTTCTTTGAATTTCACTCGGATTGTTTCTTTGTGAAGGATCGTTCAACCAGGGAAGTTCTATATAAAGGGCAGGCTTCGAGGGGTCTCTATTCTTGGGCTGTTTCTCGTTCGAGTCCCGCTGCGTTAGTGGCTTCGCGTGTCTCCTCTGAAGTTTGGCATGGTCGGTTGGGTCACCCTCATCCTCGTGTCTTGCGGAAGATTTTGAATTCGTGTTCTATTGATTCTAGTTTTAGTAATAGTTCGGTGTCATGTCGTGCTTGTATGCTTGGGAAATCATCTCGGTTTCCCTTGCCTCGTGTCAATACTACTACGTCGCATGTTTTAGAGCTTATTTATACTGATATTTGGGGCTCAGCGCCTTTTCTTTCTGTCAATGGTTTTCGTTATTTTGTTTTGTTTGTTGATGACTACACACGTTATGTATGGTTTTATCCTATGCGATTAAAAACTGATGTGTATGCTATCTTCGAGCAGTTTCGGTCACTGGTTGAGCGTTCATATGGTCGTAAAATTGTCTCTATACAATCTGATTTAGGGGGAGAGTATAAACGGTTGCACCGTACTTTTGTCTCTTTGGGTATCAATCAAAGGCAATCTTGTGCCTATACCCATGAGCAGAATGGTAGAGTTGAGCATCGGCATCGTCACGTTGTGGAAACGGGTCTGGCTCTCTTGGCTCAGGCTTCGGTTCCCCAGCGATATTGGGACTCTGCCTTTGAGACTGCGGTCTATCTTATCAATAAAATGCCTACTCGAGTTCTAGACAACGTCAGTCCTCATTATCGTTTGCACCATTCTAGTCCTTCTTATTCCTTGCGTGTGTTTGGCTGTCTCTGTTATCCTCTGTTGCGCCCATACAATCGTAACAAGTTGCAGTATCGGTCATCCCCGTGTGTGTTTCTTGGTTATCCGTCTTCGTTTCGTGGCTATCGTTGTTTAGATCCTGCTACTAACAAGGTATTCATTTGCCGTCATATGCGGTTTGATGAGACCATATATCCGTTTGCTTCTTCTGTGCCTTCTCAGGCCTCTAGCTCGCGCCCGGTTGAGTCGTGGGGTGTTGGTGCCGTTCGGGTTGGTGTTGGCTCCGATGTTTGTCCCACTGGACCTGATCCTCATCCGGAGTTGGACGCGGATTCCGGGGCTGCCGCAGCTGGTTCAGATTCTTGCACCATGACTGCCACGGCTCCGGAAGGGGCAGTCTCGGGTGCTCCTACTGCGCCCAAGCGAAGCCGCCGTACGGTGAAGCCTGTTCAGCCTCGGTCTCATGTTATGGCAACCCGTTCTCGAGGACCGACGCAGCATGTGGCTCTTATGACTGTTCCTGAGCCGACTTGTTATTCTCAGGCAGTTCGGTATCCGAAGTGGAGTGAGGCCATGGATCTTGAGTTTAATGCCTTGCTCCAGAATCACACTTAGCGTCTGGTTAGTCGCACACCTGGCATGAATGTTGTGGGGTGCAAATGGGTGTTCAAAACGAAGCGCAAGGCCGATGGCACGATTGAGCGGCACAAGGCTCGATTGGTCGCTAAGGGTTTCAATCAAGTCGATGGGCAGGATTTCTTTGAGACTTTCAGTCCTGTCGTCAAACCCACCACCGTGCGGCTTCTTCTCTCCTTAGCCGTCTCTCGCGGTTAGGTCATTCGGCAGTTGGATGTTCACAACGCCTTCCTCAATGGCAATCTTGCAAAGACAGTTTACATGAGACAGCCGCCCGGTTATGAAGACCAGTCACGGCCGGATAATGTGTGTTTGTTACAGAGGTCACTCTATGGTCTTAAGCAGGCTCCTCGAGCGTGAAGGTTGCATGCTTTCTTGGTGTCGGTTTGTTTTTCACCCTCCAAGACTGATGTTTCTTTATTCATCTATACTCGTGACTCTGTCTATTTATATTTGCTTGTATATGTTGATGATATCCTTGTTATGGGGTCTGATGCTTCGTGTGTTACTCAGCTCCTTACTGACTTAGCCCCGGAGTTTAAGATTCGTGACATGGGTGCTCCGTCCTTTTTTCTTGGCATTGAGACGGTCTCCCAAGATGGTGGTTTGTTTCTTTCTTAGCAGCGATACATGCGAGATATTTTGAGCCGTGCAGGTATGGTGGACTGTAAACCGTTGGTCACTCCGGTTCCTGTGTCCCGACCTTCCTCTGATTCTGTGGTTTCCTACGCGGATCCCACGCAGTATCGCAGTCTTGTTGGGGCTGTGCAGTATCTTACTGTCACTCGCCCGGATCTCTCTTTTACCGTGAATCGGGTCTGTCAGCATATGCACTCTCCGACTACTGAGCATTGGGCTATGCTCAAGCGTGTTCTGCGGTATGTAAAAGGAACTTTGCACTTTGGCATTTTTATTCGCCCTTCCTCCTTTGTTGCGGTTCATACCTTTTCGGATTCGGACTGGGCTGGTGATCCAGCTGACAGGAAGTCTACTAGTGGTTTTGCAGTTTTTCTTGGTGGCAATCTGATTTCCTGGTCTTGCCGAAAGCAACATACGGTTGCTCGTTCGTCTACAGAGGCTGAATACAAGGCTCTGGCTGATGTGTCTGCGGAGGTCACCTGGTTGGTTTCTCTGTTGCACGAGCTTGGGGTGTCGTTGGCTGCTCCTCCCACTCTCTGGTGCGATAATCTGGGTGCGACTTATCTCTGTTCCAACCCGGTGTTCCATGCTCGTACGAAGCATGTGGAAATTGATTACCACTGTGTTCGTGACAAAGTGGTGAAGAAGGAGTTGCAGGTTAGCTTCATTTCCACAAAGGATCAGCTGGCTGATGTGTTCACTAAAGCTCTCCCTGGTCTGCGTTTCTCTACTCTGTGTGGCAAGCTCAATGTTGTTGCTAGTCCACCTTGTGCTTGAGGGGGAGTATTAGGACTCTATTATCATTAGTATTCGTTATCTATTATTATTAGTATTCGTTTTGAAATAGGTTTACTATTCACTACTAGATATACTCTTGTACAGACTCATTATTGATTATTCGGATATATCGTATCCTCACCAAGATCAATTTTAAAATGTGGGAAATAACTGTAATTATGCTAATGTTTTAATAGTTAACAAATTTTTAATAGTAAATGAATTTTGTTAAAATAAGCTAGTAGCTTCCTAACTTTTTTTCCATCTTTGTCCTTATTATTTTAAAGAAATGACGTCGTTTTACCTTTCCCAATTAAATTTTTTTTATCTTGTCCTTTATTCGCAACTTTCACCACAATTATAATAATAATAATAATTATTATTATTAGATGAAGGAGATTCGCAACAATATTGGTACTTCATTATGGGATCTAGATCATGATTATACTAATAATTTTATTTCAAAATGTTAATTTTTTTGAAGAAAAAAATGTTAAATTTTAATATGTAAACAATCTAATTTAAATTTTATGAAGATGTCCTCTTTTGTCTTTTTACATTTATCAGCTTATCAAAAAGTTAATTTTTCCAAACACTTTCAAGCTAAGCATAACAGCTAGTTTAACAACTCTTCAATTTTCAGCTCCTAGCTTATAATTTTTCAGCTTTCAGCTCTTTTTAAGCTTTCAACTACCTTTTCAGCTAGATTTGCCAAACAAGATTTTGATTGTTGAACTCTCTCTAATATTTCTTCTTTATATATATATATATATATATATATATATATATATATATATATATAGAGAGAGAGAGAAAACTCACAAAAAATTTATTTTATTGAGAAACTACATAAGTATAAACTAATTGATAATTGAATTTTTCTCCAATATTTAACCTATGCCTTGAGAATGTGGGTGGAAACAAAATTCCAATTTGATTGTTCTAGCCTAGACTTGGGTGACTTAACAAATTGAAAAAGAAACATGAAAGTAAATAAAACGATGGAATAAAATGGAAAAGTTAGTAAGAATCTACAATTGATTTTTTTTTTTAAAGTCATTTTTGAAGTAAAAAAATCCTAATGAAATTGAAAGCAAAGATATTGAAAGCAAATACAATCACACATTGTGATTTTTTTATTTATTTACACGCCGGCCCCCAAATAAAATAAAAAAAAAAATCACATTATGATATTTTTTTGTAACTTCCTACTTAATTCCTGAAAGCCATCATAATCAAGAAAATAGAGCATATCCCTTGACCCTTTTAAAATGCCAAAGACTTTGACAATTTCATAATTCCATGCTAGGAAATCAATTGACATATGTGAAAAAAAAGAATTGTACCTATTTAATTCGCGTTCGCACACACTTAATCTAATCAAGATCATTAAAAAATATTAGATGGATGCACATGATTCTCACGCTCTCACCTAAGCAAGTGTTCTCATTGGAACCTTCCTTCATGAGGTAATATATATACTACGTACACAGTAATATATATATATATATATATATATATATATATATATATATATATATATATAAAATAAGGCTCATATGCAGCAGTGGCTTTAGGTGCGGCGGTGTGGCCCTATCAGCGTCATCCATTTTGCTTAATCTAACGGCAGCGGCTAATTTCAGAAGATTTAAAGATTTAAGCGCGTCCTGGTAAGTGGGGGGTGTTATGGTAATTGTAGTGGTTATTTATATTGGTCGCTTGTCAGTATACACCAACAGTGTTAACAAAAGACACCAACAGTGTTAGGAAAAAGCACCACAATGAAATGCACAAATACACCAAAAAATACACAACACACCCAAAAAATACACCATATAACTCACCACCCCAATGGTGTATTCTGAACGCTGTGTGATGCTTTTAGTCATACCTAGTGGTGCGTTCTGGTGATGCGTATCTAATTTGTGCATGTTTTTTTGGTGTGCATTTTCTAACATGGATGGTGTATATTTGTATAACTATTAGTGTGGTCGCACTGACCGCTCGGGAAGGCACCAACACGAATTCTCAAATACACCACAGTAAGGTTAATAATGCACCAATAACGAACATAAAACACACAACACTATGATTTGATATATTCTGGTGCCCAATGACGACTTTAACCTTGCAGTTCGCGTACTGTGAGAACGGGCGCGAAAATATCGGAAAAGCCTTGATGAATGTGATTCGTTGGATTTATCTAATCTAATGGCTTACAATTAATCTAATGGCCTACAATATATATATATGGGTCCGGATCAGGTGAGGACCTAATCTTAGGTGAGGACGTGAGGACTAATCTAGACCATTAAATCAGAATGATGTATGATTGAGATTAAAAGAAACAAATCACACGGATTAAGAAAATAAATCCATTTAAAATATTAAAATATATAAATTTAGGGTAAATCAGTCTTATTAAAAGATGTGCATTCCTATACTGAGTGTTGTGCATCAATAACTTCATTGTTGTGCATTCAAACCCCGCCAAAAAATCATACAGTGAACATCCAATGTTCTACGATGCATTGAACTATGTGCTATAATGCACAACTCCCTAGCCTATAGTGCACAACTTACAACACTAGGTTGCACAATCAGCACACACGAATGCACAATCGTACTACCCAGGCATTTATACATATACACGACAATCTAAATATAGACAATATTATACTCAAAAGAACAAGCGAAAAAAAATAAAAAATACTGATTAGTTTGCATGGGCGAACACTCAATCAATGATGAAGAAATCGCGGCTCCAAATTGCAACGGTGATGATCCAAGAAAATAAGAAACCAATTTGGCCAAGGATTACACATGCGTTCACACTTAAAAAAATAGAAAAAGACACTATTATCCCACTTTAACAAAAAAGATCAATCCATGTGATCTCAATAACTCAAATCTGGACCATCCAAATAAAAAAACAAACGCACAAGATTAGTCCTCACGTCCTCACCTAAGATTAGGTCCTCACCTGATCCGGATTCATATATATATATATATATATATATATATATATATATATATATATATATATTGTTGGTGATAATGACCAAAATCGATTTAATATCTCAAAAATAATATTTATATATATACACACGAAATATATATAAAATATTATTGGATATATATCCAAAATATATATATATATACACACAAATATATATATAACAAAACCAACGGTTATATATACATATATATCTACGAAAAAGATATACCAATATAGAGGGGTGATCACATGTGGTCATGTTGTTAGGTGTGGTCATATGGTCAATTATAGGCCATTAGATTAGATAGATCCAATGAATCATATTAATCAAGATTTTTCCAGTATTTTCGCGCACATTCTCCTACCCAGTGAACTGCAAGGGTAAACTCGTCATAAAACACCGGAATAAGGAAAATCACATTGTTGTGTGTTTTATTACACTATTGGTGCATGTTGTCAACACTGTTGGTGTATTCTGGAACCCAACCGCTATAAATGGCCACTGTAATTGCCATAACATGGAAATACACCATTGGTGTGTTTCACTGTGGTGTGTTTTATTACCCTATTGGTGTATGTTGTCAACACTGTTGGTGTATTCTAGAACCCGCCCGCTATAAAATGGCCACTGTAATTACCATAACACCCCCACTTACTAAAACGCACGAAAATTCTCAGAATTACCACTGCCGTTAGATTAAACTGATTCAACGACACAGATATGACCACACGACCACACCTAATGACATGACCACATATGAGAGCTTTTCTACCAATATATATCAACCGAAATTGGAACTAATAATCCTCAGATTATAAATCCAATCCATAACTAAATCAAATAGAGAGAAGGATTTTGCTTAGAAGCATAATCCAAAACCGAAAGAAGGAAAAGATGGCTCGTGTATGGGTATAGCCGGGTTTTTTGCGTGAGTCAAGAGACCACTCTTTCCTTAAAACCTTATTTGCCACCTTCCAAAAGTGCTAGGAGCGTTGATGGACAATTTTAATGTAATGTCCTCGCAAGTGCACGAGTCAATTGTAGTTGTAGCGTGCTTTTAGCAAGGGTCGATCCCTCAGAGAATTGATACGGTGCAATTTAATAACAATGCAATTTAATGAACATAAAATTAAAGTAACTTGACAATATAAAGAATTTTAAAAACCAAACGGCAATCAAAATGGAATAAAAATTAAATGGAAACGCGATAGAAATCAAGGCAGAAAAGATAATTGAAGCCCGCATGGGTAGCTCAACTGGTCATAGAGGTGAAACTTTGAAAGAATGACCAAGGATTGAGTCTCACCAGCGGCAGTGTGGGAGCAACCTCTCAAGGTGAGGGGGGCTCCTTGTGCGCAGTGAGCACCGGTCTAGCCTCTGTGGTTAATGTTCAGTTGAGTCATGGGGGGCTCCTTGTGCGCAGTGAGCACCAGTCTAGCCTCTGTGGTTAATGTTCAATTGAGTCACCATGATTTACATCCTCCCAAATGCTCTGTCGGGCCGGGGTGTAGGGGGCCCTTAGGGTTGGGGTTCAGCCTTCTGAAAGAAAAGATAATTGAATTACTGTGAAACACAATGACAGGGAATAAAGACTGGAATTAGATTTGATAATAAAAATAGAGAAACCTAAGAACATGAATCAATTACCATTGCAATAAAGGAATCACGATTTACAAATACTTGAGCACTAAACATTATAATTAGTATTGTAATCAAATATTATGCACTAAGTACTCATTAGCATTTCGTAAATAAAACATAATGAATTGTAAAGTAAAACTAAAACTACTGCAAAAGCTTAGAAAGAAATTAATTAAACACCCTAATCTTAATAAAAATTTCAAATGGAATTATCACATCTCCCGTAAACATAAATGTGAAAATCACTTTGTAATGCACAGAATTGAAGTTGTAATCAAAACAATTTGACCTTGCTAACAAGAATTGATGATACCAAATTGAATTGCTGCCACTGAATTAAAGCTGCACCCAAAGAATTATCACCCGGATTAATTTGCTGGTGAGAGATTGAAGCTGCTGCGTGCGTCGGTCAGAAACATAGCCACCGCCGGCGCCGCCGAGAACAGTCCGGGGTGAATTGATGATCTTGTTTCTCCATTGTTGCCGCCTTTTATACTGCTCTAGCTCCAACGGTAACTCCATGATTCAGATCGAGAATAGCCGCAGAAAATTCTTGAAGCAAGGATTGCCGTCGAAAATCTTCCCGCTATTTAATGGGATCACCAGAGGACTTCATCTGCGGAATACTGATTTGCTGAGCTCTGCGCCTTTCTTCTCGTAAGTAATTTTGACTTTCTGAAATCTATTAAATAGGCTAATAATAATAATAATAATAATAATAATAATAATAATAATAATAATAATAATAATAATAATAATAATAATATTAGAGACCATATATAACTAATCTACATTTATTAAACTCCTACTGTACATGTACTACTAAAATTATAAATATTAATCATTAAATTAGGATCAAGAAATTTTCAAAAAAAAAAAAAAATTAGGATCAAGAAATTATTAGACTAACAGAATTCAAATAATAAAATAAATTTAATAAAAACAACCTAAAATTGAATAATACTACTAAAAACTAATTATAGCAATAATAAATAAAAATAGATAAGAAATAAGCAATTATTTGCAACTTAACTATAAAAAGGTTATTTAAAATAACACTAAAAATAATGTTTATCAGCGTCGTGGCCTAGGTTTCCCAGGATAAAACGCGCTTCGGTTCGACGTTTGAGCACCCAAACGAACGAACCCGGCGAATTAGAGCAAAGCCTTGAACACAGTTAGGCTTAAGAAAGGAGTAGAAGCAGAGTTTTGAAGCTGGAAAAACGTGCAAGTGTATCTCTCTTGTTGTGTTCTTGTTTTCTGTGTGAAAAATCTGCTGTCCAACTCCCTTCTTATATAGGGATGAAGGAACTAATAGCATTCATTATGGCCTTTAAAACTTGGCCTTGTAACACCTGGCCACTATGAGATTAAATTTTGAATTTAATCCCACAAGTATTGTCCCAACTGTGTTACTTTCGGCCTCCTTTCGACCAACGTCCAAGGCCGAACTTTCAAGTGACTTTGGAAAATGGTACCAAAAGTTGGCATACCTTAGCTCGCAAGGCCTGCCAACTCAAACTTGAATCAAACCTTTTCGATCTTAGTTTGGGATGCACCCCCCTTGTGCACAAGAGAGAGCCTCTATGTTATACAATTCAATAAGCCTTTAAAGGACTCTTGTATAAATAGTGGGCCAAATCCTCTTCCCAAACCAATGTGGACAAAAGCTCACTTTTTCCCTTCATTTTCCCAACTCAATGGGTCTACTTTGAGAATCAATATCTCATTCACCTATTATCCGTTTTGAGCGTACAATATATCAATCTCTTCGTCTCACTACGAAGAACTCGAATCCACTTTGACCCGACCCAAATCAAAAATGGACCCCACTGATAATTGTACCACAAAGTAGCCACTTAAAATGTCATTGCATTTTAATGCTATTTTTCCAACATATATATATATATATATATATATATATATATATATATATATATATATATATATATATATATATATATATATATATATATACTAACTTTTTAATAGTTTGTAATTTTGATTAGTTTTTAAATAATTTACAAAGAAAATTAGGTAAAGTAAAATCAAGTAGGGAAAAAATTTTCCCGTCTAAGGGTGAATGCATATTAATAGATTTGTAAGATCATTATTATTATTATTATTTTGTGTGTAAATCACGATATGATCCGGGTCTTTCTCGGTCCGTTTAACTTTGTAAGATCATTATTGCAAATGAGATTAGCAATATGAATGCATGTATTGTCTTTAACATTTAAATATTACATTGTATGACTATACTTACATTTTTAATAAAACTAATTGTGCTTTGTATCATAACATTACAACAATACTTATAAATTTTTGTCTGTGCACCGCACGGGACAAATATATATATATATATATATATATATATATATATATATATATATATATATATATATATATATATGTGTGTGTGTGTGTGTGTGTGTGTGTATGTGTGTGTGTGTGTGTGTGTAATATTTTAAAAAATATAACTTTTTAAAAATTTTTAAATAGAAAAAAATTAATATTATTTATAGACTTTTTTTAAACTTTGAATTTAAAAAAAAAATGTCCGCGGACCGGCTCGCGGGGCCCGCCAACCCATATGGGGCGGGCTTTGGTTGCATAAACCTTAGCCTGCGGGTTTGGTGGGCCGACTTGCAAAAGCCCGCAATAAATTAAGTCCGAAAAATTTTGCATGTGCATCCCTTGGAAAACAATCATTATTGTGTGGACCATGGTCCACACAAGTTGTGTAGACCATATTTTGTCTACTATAAAATAATGTATATTCAGTACAAATATAATGTAAATTCAGTACAAAAATAATGTATATTGCATACAGGGGATATACATTATTTTTGTTATGAGTGTACATTATATTGTATATTGTACATTAAGTACAAAAATAATGTACATTTAGTATATTAAAATGTACTTTTTATTATGGTCCACATAACATTGTGTGGACTATTGTCCATACAATAATTTGCCCTTGGAAAATGACTTACCAAAAAAAGGAAAGTCATTTTTCCCCAAAACATACATATTTTCCTTTGATTAATGCATCATTTTCCATTGACATTTTTTTCCCCCATCTTGCCAAACACTAAAAACTCAAAAGTCATTTTTTGGGTTTTCAAACGCACCCTAATTGAATGTCAATTGGATAAGGAACAAATTTGACTAATTTTGTAAATTGGTGAGGGTTCATTGCTTACCCCTAATGCCTATGCTTTGAGAATGTGGAAACAAAATTGCAAAGAAACTGACAATTGGTTTCACCCATTACTGTTCTCATAATGGTTCACCATGATTCCTGGGTTAGAGGCTTGCGAAAAAGCAGATGTTATATCATTATACTGTTTTTTAATCCAAAAAATCTTAAAATCAAAATTAACACTTTGTTCTAATCTAGACCTGGGTGACTTACCAAATTGAAAAAGAAAAACAAAAGTAAATAAAACGATGGAATAGAATGGAAAAGTTAGTAAGAATTTATAATTGTTTAAAAAAAACTCATTTTTGAATTAAAAAAATCCTAAATGTTAGAAACATTTATTTTATATGTCGCCTCTTACTTTTCCCTACTTCTATATATGTTGTTCTTATATTATTGTTAGCTCTGGTGTATATACAAACAATTATTATTGAAAAGATTTCAGTTGCATAAACGTTATCCCAAAAAACTTTAGGTAAGGAAGTCTAATTTACAACAGGTTATCAGCATGACTCGTCATCATAACGGTAGAGCTTGATTCCGTATGCATTTTATTTTCTGAAAACAATTATAGCATTGTACATGCACTACTGGAAATTATAAAATTTCCGACCACCTGAAAGTAATCTTAAATCAAGTTGAAAGTAAAAGGCTTTCGACTTGATTTAAGATCACTTTCAGATGGTCGGAAATTTCATAATTTCCAGTAAAGATGTATATTGATTATCAATATTGATGAATTTTAATTGACAATACCCTCCATAAAACCGGGTTAATATTAGATAACAGGTAGGAAATATAAATTGAATTGATAGGGTCCAATACCTTTAAAATAATATAAATGAGCTAGGGCCCTTAAAATAATATAATTGAGCTAGGGCCCAATACGCTGAAAATATAATATAAATGAGCTACCAATGTACCGGATGAATCCATAGCGCAAATTATGCCCTGGAAACGTGTTCACCGTGAATGGTGAACACAAGTCCAAACGACGTCGTTTTTACGTTAAAAAAAAATTCGCCGATGTGGAGTTAACGGCGCGCGTCTGATCAAATTATGAATTTTCTGTTATGAGATTATGAATGTAATGTAAATTTATAATCTCATAACAGAAAATTCATAATCGCATAAAAGTAAAATATTTATTAAATTATGAATTTTCTGTTATGAGATTATGAATGTAATGTAAATTCATAATTTCATAACAGAAAATTCATAATTTCATAACAGAAAATTCATAATTTCATAACAGAAAATTCATAATCTCATAACAGAAAATTCATCATCTCATAACAGAAAATTTATAATCTCATAATTGAAAATTCATAATCTTATAACAGAAAAATCATAATCTCATGGTTCCAAATTGAATGTGTAGGCATGGTTCCAAAGTGAATGTGCATGCATGGATTCGTAATTTATGAATGTCCGTGATTTCGGACAGGAATGTGTAGGCATGGTTCCAAAGTGAATGTGCAGGCATGAATTCATAATTTATGAATGTCCGAAATCATTGCTCACCTCAAATTAAAGTGAAACCGCGAAATGTGAAAATGAAAAAGAAAAGTCACGCAATTAATTAAGAAAAAAAAAAAAAAAAAAGATAACGGTGTACTAACACCGTTGGAACCGTGTTCACCATGAATGGTGAACACGGTTCCATGGCATAACGATTGAATCCATAGTGGGTGGACTACCATTCCACTCTAACAATGGCAATTTATATCCTACACACGGCGCGCGTTGCACTGTGCGCCCATATGCAAAACGACGTCGTTTTAATTAATTTATTTTTTTTGAAATTTTCCGCCCCAGTGTATGGCAGTTATTTTTTCTTTAAAAAAAAAAACCCTGTTTAAAAATGTACATAATGTTATACTAGAATACACATAATTGTATACGAATGTACATAATTATATAACAAAATATACACTCTTTTTAAAAGAAAATACACATAATCTAACATAATACATAATAAACATAAACTTTTAACATAATACACATCAACTCTTAACATAATACACACAAATTTTCTGATTCGGATGTACATAATTGTATAAAAAGAATGTACATAATTGTATAAAAATGTACATAATTGTATGAACAAATATACATAATTGTGTGAACAAATATACATAATCACAGCAATTTCCTACCGCGCCTCCCAAAACGACGTCGTTTTGGGAGGCGTGCGACGCACAATGCTACGCGCGCCGTGGTGTAGGGTATAACGATTGCTCTAACAATAGTTATGCTGTGCAACCGAATGCACCATGCGCATGATGCATACGATGCAAAACGACGTCGTTTTGACTAAAAACGCGCGTCCCACTAAAAAAAAAATCAGGTTCGATTCTCGGCAATAGCATTATTGTGGATATATAGTTATGAATTTCTGGATATATAGTTATGAATTTATGGATATTTAGTTCATTCATTGTGGATATTTAGTTCATTCATTGTAGATATTTACTTCATTCATTCACTGTGGATATATAGTTATGAATTTCTGGATATATAGTTATGAATTTTTGGATATTTAGTTCATTCATTGTGGATATTTAGTTCAATCATTGTGGATATTTAGTTCATTCATTGTAAATTTTTACTTCATTCATTCACTGTGGATATATAGTTAAGAATTTGTGGATATATAGTTATGAATTTATGGATATATAGTTATGAATTTATGGACATATAAAAATGCTATTGCCGGGAATCGAACCTGATTTCTTTTTTAAGTGGGACGCGCGTTTTTTAACCAAAACGACGTCGTTTTGCATCGTATGCACCATGCGCATGGTGCATTCGGTTGCACAGCATAATTTGCGCCACTCTAACTAGAAGACTACAAAAGACAATTGACGCGCTACGCCATTGAGCATGGCCGGATTTTAGGGTGTGCAAGATGGGTAACAACACATGGTCTCAATTTTTAGAGGACCAAATATTTATTTTTCACCTAGTTACATAAGAAATAAAAAAAATCTACTATTAATCCTAAAACTCATTAGTTTTTTCCCAAATCACTTCTCTCTCCTAATAATTAGGACCTATTTAATTAAGTATGGCAAAACCATTCTATAACTGAAAAGAAGAGTCATATATTTTACAGTATTAGTTTTAAGGGGGAATCAACGATTTGGTCCCTCAGTTATTAGCGAACTGTCAATGTAGTCCCTCAATCACGTATTCATCGATTTGGTCCCCGAAAATAATTATTTTTCGTCGATTCAGTCCCTCCGCCCGTATTCCGTCAATAATCCGGCGATAACTCCGATTTTCCATGGGCAATTTAGTCTTTTCACGTCATTTTCTTCATTAACTCTGACCAAGCTTCGCCGGAGGGAGCTCCATCTCTTCTGCTCGTCGAAATGAGCTCACCGCCAAAAAAGAGAGTCGACCTGAGCCGTAAAAAAGGGAGCTTCATCTTGGATAGTCTGGCTTTAGTGTCTAGTCATACCTTGAAATGGGATAAAAAGAATAGGAAAGATCTCAGAGCGGGGGAAAGGAGGGATAAGAGGTAACCAGTAAAAACAGTACCCTTGGTGTCATCTTCCTTGAAAATCCAATTTCATGCCTGGATAAAATGGGTGTAGTATATGGTTTGTGGGTTTATGTATGGTTTAATTTTCACTCCTAGTTTTCAAAAGTTGTAATTTAGCGATTCACCACAAAATACAAGCTTCCATTTTTTTCCCACTATTTTCGCCGGTCCACCGTCAACGTACAACCAGCCGTATATCGTCCGCGCGAGCGTTCAACTCCGACGATTGCACAACTCCGACGACCACAACCCGCTGCGCCGACCAATACTGCTGCTGTCGGCGCCGCCGCTTGATGAACCAAAAACGATTAGGATCATCGACATCGGAGATTCCGGCCACCGTCATTGGACAGCCGGCTGTCGACAGCGAAGGAGACACGGGCGAAAGAATATGCGAGAGGGGACCAGACATGTTTTTAAAGATTCCGGCGATTCTTTGAAATTTCCTCCGATATGGCAGAGATCAGAACATGCCTGGCTTGAGAAAGCCATTGGTGAGGCGGTTGAGAAAGCCATTGGTGAGGCGGTTCTGAGAAAACTTGATCCCAGTTGAAATTTTCCTGGTGTTTCTGTGTCGTGTGGTGAAAGACAGACAGTGGTATTTCTTCAGCCTGAGCCTGAAGATTGTTGAATCATATTACAAAGCTCCGGCGACTACAAAGTCACCTGCCTTGACCTCAAAGCCTCCTCCGGCACTGATCCTCATATCTAAACATGGTTTCTCTCTCATTTTATCCTCACCCAACTTCCCCAGCATTCTCTGCCGTTATCCTCGCTCCCTTCCTCTTCCACAATCTGTGGGGGTGGAAATACTAGAACTGGGTCTCAAAAGCATGGCCCTTCTGCTTAGGGAAGGCCTGGAAATTCTGGGAAGAACACTAAATTCTGACTAGACCTGGGTCTGGGTCTATGAACTATGCTTCTGCAGTGGGGAAGGAAAAGGATGGAGCTCCCTCCAGAAGGAGAATTATTTTCGGGAACCAAATCGATGAATAAGCAATTGAGTGACTACATTGACAATTCGTTAATAACTGAGGGACTAAATCATTGATTCCCCCTAATTTTAAAGATTGCACTTATATTTTTGATAAGGCCCCATTTATTTATAAGAACGGGGTCACAAAATTTTGAGCAGTAATGATTTGTTCTATTTTGGGAACATTACCCTTGCCTGATGTTGTTGGGAACACTACCCTCGGCCCTCGCCTGTTTTGGGCTGATGATGTTGTTACCATATAGTCCCTAGCCATTTGCATGTCCTCAACCATTTTGAATGGGAAAACTCCATACCATATAGTCCCTAGCCATCAAAACATATCGGTCCTAATGTCATCAAATTAAATTCAAAATGTGTAGGCATTTCCTGAGCTTGGATGTGTAGGCATCTCAATGAGCTTGGTAGGTACCACATATATATATATATATATATATATATATATATATATATATATATGGTACAATTGTGCATTCAATTGTGTAAACTGTTATAGTTGACTTGTGGGTTGTGGAACCCATTGCTGTGGATTGTGGGTTTCAAAGCCATTATTCCTTATTGACGATGATTCATTAAAATCGCACTAGAAACTTTCTAGGTGTATGTTGGATTCTTGAATTTTTTAGGTAGTAAAGATTTATGATTACGGTATAAACTTCTAAATTTTGTTTACAAGAAATATATGTATGTATATATATATATATATATATATATATATATATATATATATAGAGAGAGAGAGAGGGTGGGGGGGGGGGGGGCAGGAAAACAAATGAAGAAGCAAGTAATGAATCACACTACAAATGTTGTGAATTATTTAAAGAATAAACGGGGCAAAATGTTTATTATTATTATAGTTTACAAAATTCGAAGAGTGAAGACAAAATTAGAGAATGCCACGAGGACAAAAACGTGAATCTCTCTACTCTCTCAAACTCCAAAGGTCTGGTCAGGCTCAATGGCTCATACTTAATGAATAATGTAGGTCAGCGCCAAAGCAAGCAGCATTAGAAGGTACGCTATCCCCTGATCAATGCTAGTTCCTGCCACAACCACACCTCTCTTTTAAATACAAACAATATAGCAGCACAGACTTAGCTCAAGAAAAAAAAGACCAAAATTTAAATTTTAACGGCAACAATGTAGGGATGATGTTCAAAGTGGACAGATCCTTTGCGCACCGAATTTGACCTTTTGGCCTTGTCTACTGAACCATGAATCACCGTGATCTACTCTGTCGGGCCAGAATGTGAGGAACTATTGGGATTGAGAATTCAACCTTTTGGGAGAAGATACAAACAGTATAATCAACAAAATATTTTTAAAAATATATATGTATTAATTACCATCGCTGGTGGCCGTGGGAGAAGAGGGTGGAGCAGCCTGATCTGCGACGGCCGGAAAACTGACGGCAGCCAGGACAAGAGTAAAGATGGCCACCGCCAACATTGAAGCCCTGCTCATCATTGCCATTTTGGTTAAACTCCACGGCGTCCTAAACCAGACGGGCGACGCGGAGTTTGAATGAGAGGAAAGAGTAGAAAACACAGACAATGGTATGATTATTAAGGATGTTCTATGTTATATGGTGAGATAAGAGGTAGATGTTTGAAGGACACACACATATATATACCTACAATCAGGGTATTTCGATCCATTGTTGTGGTGCAGAGAGAAAATAGGCAAACTCAGTAAACTTTGGCTAAACATTCCTGATTAAAATGCAGGGGAATTCTATCCAAACACCTCCATTATTAACATAACACAACATCACAATAATAACAAAAGAAAAATATCGTCATCACGGGCTTAGCTTACATAGACAGGGCAAATTATATCGTGGACCGCGGTCCACAAAGCATTGTGGTCAAGTCTAAAACGACGTCTTTTCTTTTATTTAATAAAAAGAAACAGCATCCATTCTGCATAAAGTAGCTTTATTTGTATAATATTTCAATTTTATTTCAACACAACTACAGTTTATTTCGATATAACTACAATTTCATTCGACAATATACACTCAAATATGTGAAACTGTTATTCAGTTTCATTTTATATACATTTCAGTTTCATTTCAACACAACTACAGTTTCATTTCAATTCAATTACAATTTCATTTGATAATATAAAAATAATGTGAGACAGTTTCATTTTAGATATACTATAGTTTCATTTTATAATTAATACACCAAAAATACAGACTCCGTTATATTAACGGCAACCGTTTCTTTACTTAAAGAAGCGGCACCGTTTTTGGACCATGGTCCACAAAGCTTTGTCGATCATGGTCCACGATATAACAACAGACTAGACAGTATTTGGGATAGAAATCATAAATATAAAAATATCACCCGCACGGGCTTATAACTCACTAGTTTAGTAGACAGTATTTTGGGACAATATAAAAATGTTAGGGAGACGGAGGACCCTTACCCTTAGCTTGCCCTATTCATAGCTTCTAAGTACATAACTACCAATAACTACACCGTACCCCAACAATATCTAACATTAATTATGAACAAAAGTTTCTAGCTGAGCCATGCATATAGTGGAACTTGAGAGTAACATGAAATTGCATAAGAACAAAAACCTAAGAAGCAAGCCAAGTCAGGAAGGGAGAAACAACGGGTCCTCATTGTTTTTGTAGATTTCAAACAACTGCTTAGAGTAGCGTTGTGCCAAACTCCAACACTTTTCAAGCCCCTTAGGATCGTGTTCTTCTAATTCCTTAACAGACTTGATTACATCTCCCTTCAGGTTTCCGTCAGTAAGAAACTGAGCCAATTGACTGCCCCTGTAGCAGTAGTCAACAAAGACAATTAGGCCATAATTTAATAAAGGTGAGAAAATTAAACGTGTAGTGAAACACACTTCAACAACAATCCAATTATGCTATGAAATCCCTATGGATGATGAATTGCAAGTTACCCCATAATTGTGATTTATTCTTTCAGGTGATGATGAGCAGGATTCTACATATGGAAGGATATTAACTCATAAAACATAGACCCCGTGCTTAAAACTTAAGTGAAATGGAAGCTGGAACTACTCTCTAGGATGAACATATTCAAACAATAGGGGGTAACCCCAGCCAAGATGGCTAAGGATATAAACTTGTAACCACAAGGTCACGAGTTAGAATCCCAACCCTCTTGGTTTAAGTCGGTCAATTATGAGCAACCTAGGCTAGTTTACCTCCTTGTGGTCCTTAGTCAGTTAAAATCACAAGACAGAGTTTACCCCGTGCACACCTCAGGTAGTGGTTGCGGGTTTCCATCGTCACCCCAAAAACATATTCAAACAATAAATTTTCCCTAAAGCTTGAAGTTCAATTCTATTTCTACTTCCTATGGTAATATTTTCCAAAAAACTATTCTTCCAGGGCTTCTTATACATAAGTAAGTTTCTTTCATTAGAATCAGTTTGAAACATATGAGAAATTAGATGCAAAGTTAGCACTACACTAGCTTCAAGTGAGCAACCCAAGTAATCAAATGCACTAGGTAACAAACAAAAAGGATAATGATAATTAATGGATATGCAAAGGGTTCTGTGAGCTTTATGACGAAGTCACCTTCATATATAATATATATATATATATATATATATATATATATATATATATATATCCCTTTTAGTGCATATATTTGAATAGTAGCTGCTGTAGACTTTTTTATGTTAGGTCCATACCTGTATGCATCACATTGGCTAAAGCCTCGCTCATTCATGTACATTGTGGATTTACAATTCTTTTCATCATCAGTTTGCATCCTATAGAGGGCACAAACAGCCTTCATACAAAGCTCAGGAACCTCGGCAAAAGCAGTAAGCATATCTGCCTCATAATCCCACTCTAACTTATGAGTTTTCTTCCTTCGAATTCTAGAGATAATTTCACCAAAGGTCTCTTCATTGTCAGATGCGATTTCTGGATCAAAAGAAGAATCATCAGCTGCAGAAGCATCGTTATTGTTAGAACCATCATTACTGTCAGAAAGACCATCACCATTACAATCATCATCATCATCAACGATAAAGCCATCCAAGCTTTCTCCTTCATTGTCTGACTCATCATCTTCATCTTCATCACCACAATTAGCACCACAATTATTTTCATAATTTAGAGACCTCTTCACTCCATCACCTTTGTCTTCATAGCTTTTCAACTTCACCAAACGCCGCCTACTACCTGAATCTTTTACTTCATCCTCAGAAACAGTAGATTCCATCGAGTTTTTCTTTGGATGATAATCTCTTGGTTGTTCATCGGAATGTCTAATCCCAAGCCTACAAAGTGGAAGATTATCATCATCACTATCACTGTCAGTGACAACAATATTGTAAGCTCTCTTCCTTTTTGGAGTTGATATACATGGAGCACCGTTGTTCGGGCCAATCAAGTCGTCATAATCATCATCGCTATGGATCACAGGAGATATCTTTATGTTATTATTTGAGTACAACTTATTTTCACTCATGCTATTCCCAATTCCATAATCAGGCAAGCCGCCTACCACTTTGCTTTCTGATAGAGAAGGCATACAAAGTTCATTTGTGTCCTCATCACTTCCATCAATGTCAATAACTCTATTTACTGCAGATTTCACCCCAGATGGTGTACATGGAGCTATCTTCTTATTAGGGTGCCCTTCTTCTACAAGCCTTATGCGCTTCCTAATATGATCAACATCCTTCTCCCCGTTTTCATGTTCGGACTCTGTTCCAGATGTTTCCATGCCAGTCTTAGGATGTATTGTCCCGTCAATTTTTGTTACTTCCTCTACTGCTTGCAGACCATCTAAAGTGGCCGAGGCAAGAGATGCATTTTGTAAGCACCGATGTTCATTCATCTCCTCTTTATTGTGCACTGCAGTATTCCCATCTTCCGAAACCAACTTCTTTTCTAACTCCGTTATCAACAATTGCATTTCTTCGCACTTCCCTTTCCATACCTCAATATCAGTTTCAGCCTTTCTTTTCTCACATTCCAAAACCTTATTCTCAGTCATCAACCGTAAAACCTCATCCTCTCCTTCAATCTCTTCTTCAGTCAAATCAATTACCCCTCCCATTGGTTTAAGCCCTTCACCCATAACACTGTTTGTAACATTTTTGGTGTGTGTTTCCTGTGCTTCAATCTCTTTACTATTTCTTTTCAATAATTGAAGCTCATTCTCAACGGCAATCTTCTCGCCTTCCAATGCTACAAGCTTATGTTGGAGCAATTCAACCTCGTTTTTCTTCCCTTCAATCTCCAACTCCAAAGCAGCACACCTATTCCAAGCCTCCTTCCGACTATCTTCCAAATTTAAACACTGCCTGCAACATTCATATTCACTCTGTACACAAACTCTACGCATAGCATCGTTTCCATCTAATAGTTCCACACTACTATCCATATTAACCTTCCAAGGTTTCTTGTCAATGTTCAAATTTGATCTAAAAACATATAAAAGAGACATTAATTCAAGATTGATTTACTTAAAAAAAAAAAAAAACTAATAATAATAATAATAATAATAATAATAATAATAATAATACCACCCCACCACCACCACCAACAACAACAAAAACAAAAACAATAATTCAATTACGGAATCAATGTAAATAGAGGTCTAGCAGAAATTTAAGTCACCCCTGTTCCAACCCTAAACCCCCAAATTCTAGCCCCCAATTAGGTAAAACTGTTGGCTATTCATCATGATTAGAGATTGTTTATGGACTATGGTTCTACTTCTCCCAGTAACTTCAAATTTAGGGCTTAAATAAGATACACTATAATACATTTTATAATCATAATCTTTGACAAACATGTAAAAAGTGACTACAATGGTCTGATCATACTCCTCAAAACACAGACTTTTAGCATCAACTATTAACTAACCATCATAGAAAATTTTTCTTAATATAGGAAAAGTAGAGAGCATTTCAAGAATACTAAACCCTTCAAATTCTTACAAAGCTTCAACATACAGTACTTAACTCACTATTAATTTATACCTGACAACATTCAGAAGCAAATAAATTTTCAAAAATAGAAAAGAAAACGAATGGGCAGTTCTAGTAATGGTGAACTTACAATTGCTGAAGAATTGTGAAGCATTCAATGGTTGTAGAAATCTGAACGCTGTGATCCCAAGTAAAAGTATGAAGCTGTAACGTCACCCGAAACCCGAAAGGATTTTTGTTAACGTCAGCAGGTCTAGACGCTAGACGAGGCTTTAGCGTTCAAAGCGTACTTACCATTTAGGAAACTTCTGAATATACTGTAGTAGTAGTCTATTAGAATGAAGATACCTTACCATTTTATTCGTTGGAAAATTGCAGTTTGGTCCCTGAATATACCCAAGTTCTAACTCAGACTCAAATTATTACTGTATTTGTTTTTTACTCATAAGTAATGAGGGGTGAGTTTGTTCCCTGACATTAAACCTAACAGAAAATCTAAGAACCCTACATTATTTGAGTGATAAAGTAGAAAATCATATATTATTCTCACTCTTATATTCAAACTATTTTCGTTGTATTATTTTCCCCTTCTCACGCTCATATTTCAAGGTTCTTCAATTTCAAAAACATTTCAATAACTCTTGCATGACTAGTTAAGAACTTAGACCTCATATAAGGAACATGAGCCTCAGTACAAATTAGAGGCAGGCAATTCGATTCCGTTTATTTGAACCGCATCGAACTAGTAATAGAAAATCGAACGGTTCGGGATTCTTGTAAACCGAACGGTTTAGTACTGAACCGAACCGAACCGAAACTGAACAGTTTGGCAAAAATCGAACCGAATACTATATGATTTTTTTAATAAATAATAATAATAATAATAATAATAATAATAATAATAATAATAATAATAATAATAAAAGTAGTAAATCCAAGTCCCTTGATGCCTGCTCCGTAGTTCAATTCTTATTCTCACTGGTATCTCCCTTAAATTTTTTATTTGATTTCTTTATAGTTTGTTCTCTACATTGCACTTTTGTTGTTTGTCGTAATTATTTTTTACGTCACAATTATATCTAACTTGAGTTATATTTACAATATTCAGTATTTTCCTTAGTTTCATGTTTCTATAAATTTAATGTGCTTTACAGTCATTCTAATTTTGATTTCCAGTGCACTAGATTATTTTCTAGTACTGGAATATATTTCGAGTGCACTAGCAATAACAGATTGTGTCCAAAAATTAACTATATAGTACTTGACATTTGTTATTCTAATATCAACTATACAGATAGATGATTATTCATCTTGTCAATAAAAATATTTCAAGTGAACCAACTAAAGAGTCGGTTGTGCAAAAAGTTAACTAATGCTTGGTAATTAGTACTTAGTATTGTGTTTGAACTTTGGATTGCTATTTTGTTATATAATGTTTAGAGTTTGGATTTGGATTATGTGAATATGTATTGTTTGGTAGTATGTTCAAAAAATTAGAAAATATTGAGATTTGAGGATCTTAAACCGAACCGGATTAAATTCGAACCAAAATCGAACCGAACTCTAATGTTAAACCGAATGGTTTAATTTTTTTAAAACCGAAACCGAAAAAATCGAACTGAAACCCGAAACTCCCACCCCTAGTACAAACAAAGAAGCACTTGATCACCATTTTCCTAAAAGTTTATGATTTTCCTTACTATGCAACAAGGGTAATCAAATCATAATTTTTTTTAGATATAAGAAAATGTATAATTTCTCAGGTTACTTTTATGAGAAATTCACCAAGGATTAACTTGAGATTTTTAGTATGTAAAAATTATCATGACAACATATGAAAATTTTATTATATATATGATACATCCATCATCAGACATCCCTTTATTTGTGCTCTTAAAAATCAAAATAATAAAGGAGGAACCTGGATCTCGCATAAGGAGCCTGAGACTCATCAGTTATGGAAGTTGCAATTTTTTTTTTAAATTATCATAATTGAGTCTCATGTTCCCTATAACTGAGTCTTAGGTTCATTCTTCATTACTAGATTTTTAAGATGACAGAGGTCAGAGGAAGGAATGTCTGATGATGGATATATATAATAGAATTTTCATATGTTGTCAAGATATACGATTTTTAACTAAACTATTGCAGAGTTTATGAATGATTTTTTACATACTAATTAAAAAGAGTTTATTACCAAAATGGTCCCTCGACTATTGTGAAATTACCAATTTGGTTCTGGACAATTTTTCTTACCCAATTAAGTTCTCGACTTTAAAAATGATAACCATTTTGGTCTTCAGTTAACATTACCGTGAACTGTCCGTGTATTTTGAGGGCAAGATGTAATTGCAAATTTTTCTTACCTAAAATGGTCCTCCGATTATGAAAAATTTACCAAAATGATCCTCTAGGCACCATGAATGTAGTAGAACTGAGAATGAAGTGTTGGTGATAATGAACCACAATCGATTTAATATCCCAAAAATAATATTTATATATACACACACTAGTATATAAAATATTATTGGATATTTATCCGAAATATATATATATATACACACAAATATATATAAAACGGATCCAAAGGTTATATATACATGTATATCTACGAAAAAGATACACCAATATATATCAACCAAAATTGAAACTAATAATCCTCAGATTATGAGTCCAATCCAAATAATATATCAAAAGAGAGAGAACGGATTTTTGCTTAAAAGCATAATCCAAACAAGAAAGAAGGAGAAGGAAGAAAGAAATGTACGAGTTAGGCGAGTGCCTTTCTTTCCTTAAAACCTTATTTGCCACCTCCCAAAAGTGCTAGGAGTGTTGTGGCCTAGGTCTCCCAGGATAAAACGTACAACGGTTCGACGTTTGAGCACCCAAACGAACGAACCCGGCGAACAAGAGCGCGGGCAAAAACACAGCTTCAAGAATGGAGTAGAAGCAGAAGTATTTTGAGGCTTGGAAAAATTATTTTCTTGTGTGTTCTTGTTACTTTTCCTTAGAAAAATTCTGCTGCACTCTACCCCTTCTTATATAGGGATTGAGGAGTGAATAGCCTTTATCATGGCATTTAGGGACACCCCTACAACTCCTGTAACGGCAACCACTAATATGGGTGTTAATTCAAAATTAAAATTGGAATTAATTCAAAAAATTTATCCCATAACAGCCCAATAGTAGCTTTCTGATTCGTGTATACTGTGCATATTTCGGCCACTGCCTTTGCAAAGGCTTGGCCGAAACTTGCAATTGCAAAGTTCGCTTGGCTAGCTTTCTGATTCGTGTATACTGTGCATATTTCGGCCACTGCCTTTGCAAAGGCTTGGCCGAAACTTGCAATTGCAAAGTTCGCTTGGCCGAAACTTGCAATTGCAAAGTTCGCTTGGCCGAAACTTGCAATTGCAAAGTTCGGCCAAGCTGGCCGAAACTTTGAAACTACTTTGAAACTTGCAGTTTCAATAGTTTCGGCCACTTGGCCGAAACTCACAACAATCATCACGAAATTTCGTGGCTTTGTCAAAAAATGAATACCGAAGTTTTGGGATTTGATTTGCACCCCCCCTGCATGTAAGAGAGAGCCTCTATGCTATACAATTCAACAAGCTTAACAAGAGCTCATGTATAAATAGTGGGGCAAATCCTCTTCCCAAACCAATGTGGGACAAAAGCTCACTTTTTCCCTTCATTTTCCAACTCAAATGGGTCTACTTTGAGAATCAATATCTCATTCACCCATTATCCGTTTTGAGCGTACAATATATCAATCTCTTCGTCTCACTAGGAAGAACCCGAATCCACTTTGACCCGACCCAAATCGGAAGTGGACCCCACTGATAATTGTACCACAAAATAGCCACTTAATATGCCATTTTATGCCATTTTAAGCTATTTTTCCAACAATCCCCCACATGAATGAAAATTGATTTTCAGGGTATTTTGAAATCGGAAACAAACTGTGTTCAACGGTCGATCCCTGCATAGGATAGGTAGGGATCACTATACCCTTTGAACCTTCCCTTGTAAAGATATGTTTACTCTACTGGCTGTACGGTAGAACGCGATGTCTTTGAACCGACTGCTATTTGTGTAGACGATGACATATCTCACACAGGAACCTCCCAACCATGCTCTGTTCTCATGAGTGTGCCCATTTTGGTCGTGGGTCACCGTCCTGGTTCTGCAAGAGTTTGTGAAGAATTGTGCCCATCAATTCTCCTTTGAAGCGACCCTCACTTCTATCTCACATAGGTGATTCTTTTCCGAGTATCCCACATACTCACACATGTCAACCGACATTCGAATCATTAAAGCACCAACGTGCTAGCCTTGTGCGGGAGTCACTGTTTCTAACGAGGAGTGGTAGGAAGTCCGAGACCCCCACAGTGACACGCTCCGTTCCATAATTTAGTTGTCCCATTGAACCTAGGTGCCAGCTAGGTTGGGTATCCACTATAGAACTTTTAGTCCAAGGGCTTTAGACCCATTCCTCGTTCCAATTTCTCCACAACTATTTGCTTACCCTCGGGTTAGCGAGTTAGCGGCCGCTACGTTATCTTTTGATATCACGTAGTCAATAGAGATAACCCCCGTTGTGAGAGATTGTTTAATGGTATTATATCTACGACTTATAAGTATAGACTTACCATTCTACATTTAACTCTGTACTTAACCAATTTTGGCTTGACTATACAATGCACACAAATTGGAGGTACAAGTTCACCACTAGGAACATTCTCGAAATAATGGCATAGCCATTCGGCCTACTCGCTCGCGACACGAGTGTAAGGCTCTCAGCTTTGATCCCGTCGGATCTTAGCTATCACAAATTCATTTCGAGAATTTCCGTCCAACCGACTGCACTGGCCTACGTAAGGACGTAGCCTTTAATGGACTTAGCGTCCTTTTATATCCGTGCTATACTTTCTAAGTACGGCTAGATATCCCACGTTGTGCAGTCCAAAGTCACGATCATACCTTGAGTATCTCATAACTTTCACTATTGCCTTCTAGTGCGTAACACTAGGGTTACTCGTATATCTACCGAGTTCGTTAACCGCAAAGGCAATGTTCGGCGTAGTACAACCCATTTAATACAATTAAACTACCAATAATCTGAATGTATTCTCCCTGAGAAGTACAATCTTCGTGATTATTGGCTAGTTGTCTGTTAGTATCTAACGATGTCCAAGCCACTTGATTATCATCCTTCACAAGGATTCAATCAACACAATGAGATTGGCTTACCACGAGACCATACGGTCTTCTCTCAATTTTTAATCTCG